TTTCCCAAGGCAGGAATCTCTGGTGCGTTCCTGGGGCTCCCTCCCTTGGAGCCTGGCTCCAGGCCTTCCCACGGCTGTGGGAGCCCTGCCCTCTCAGTACAGCTGGTGCGCTTGGGTAGGGCAGCTGGCAGGGCACGCTTGGCCCTGGGAAAGGCCTTATCGGCTTAGGGCACCTGTTTCCTCCGGTTTCCAGTACGCATTTAACTTTGCTTTCGGGGACACTGCACACCCTTCCCTGAGAGAGAAGGCGGAAAACCAAAGCCCTTTCCTTCTTTAAGGAGCCCTGGTGCTATGGTGGTTAAGTGCTTAGCTGCTAACTGGAAGATCGATGGTTCAAACCCACCAGCTGCTCTGGGGAGAAAGACGTGGCAGTAGATTTCCATCAGGATTTACCCCTTGGAATCAGTGCAGGAGATCCTGGATAAAGTGGGAGAACAATGGGGAACAATACTCAAAATCATTAAAAAAATAAAACAAAAAAACTAGGCTGACTGGTCTGATGGAGCCTGGTGAGACCCCTAAGACTATGGCCCCTAGTTCCCCTTCAGGTCTGGATTCATGCCTGTGGCTCCCAGCCAAAAAACAGACAGGCACATGGGGTGAACATTTACATTAGGTAGATACACTCCTTGGAGAGGACAATCATGGGAGAACAGAAGGGCAGTGTCTGCACAGGGAGACAGCTTGGGGGACGGGAGTGCATGGGAGGAAGGACACAGGGAGCAGGTAACTACAGGGAGGAAGTGGGAAGAGAGTTGTTACATTATGAGGATTGCAGTCAATGTCGTGAAACAAAATGCCTATGAACTGCTGTGTGGAAAATGAATTTGCTCTGTCAACTTTCACCCAAATCACAATAAAAATTTGGAGGGGGAGAAAAAGAGAGATTTATCCATTTGGGTGTCCTGTCCTCTTTGTTGTTGTTGTTGGCCATCCTGTCCCCTAGGGCACTATAAATCAGAATCCACTGATTCTGGCACTGGGTGTGGTTTGGGCTTTGCTTCCGTGAAGACTGACAGCCTTGGAGACCCTGTGGGCAGTTCCACTCTGTCCTCTAGGGGCGCTGTGGGTCAGA